GTCCCATACGGCATAGGCTCTTCTGTTACCAGCTCGGCCTTTTCTTCTGGAGCGACTCACAGCTGCGGTCCCTCCTCGGTAGAAAGTGCTTCCTCTTTCTCCACCAGGAGCTCTTCCAACCCTTCCGTAACCATCACGACTGTGATATCGTCAGCCACCCCCTCGTTCGTAGGCATTTAGACTTTGGCTATATAAGTCATGTCCGGTCGAGGCTGGACTGACCTTATGTATGGTTTAAACACGTTCTTTTGGATGCTATGACGACCTTTCCTTTCATATTAGGTCCTCGGTTTCTGTTCTTTTCCTTGTATTTTATCTGGCTTTCAAATAAATACTTGGTGTTTCTTTTTCCTTTCACAGTGCTTATCAAGGAATCGGCTTATTTTTTGTGAAGTTACAATAAGTTGTGAAGGGTTGTATCTCAGACTTCCCGCTTAACTTTCGACACCTATCAAATGATCAAGGATTCGTAAAACCTGCTTTGCCCAAGCCATTATTGGAAACTATTTATTGGTTACAAATAGCCACGTGGTTTTCGTTACTGAGGGAAACTTGACGAAAACAAGTTATAGCACGCCTTTATGTGCCTTCGAGCACAAAAACCAAGCATGGAAACTTTGTCGAAATTTAAACACTGGTTCAAAGAATACTCAATAGTCTATTCGAATTCATGTCCAGCAGTCGATCTGGAACGCTTGAGCTCTGAGATGCTTTTCACATCACCCCGTATAAGAAGTACAAGGTTGGATAGTTGAACCAAAAGTATCTTGAGACTGAATTGTCAACACGAGAGAAAGGTAAGGACAAGCACTTCATTGTAGACTATTATAATATGGATATGGAACACAGCGACCACGCGTGCATGCAGAGTTCATCCGGCAGACATATGTACGACAAGAAAATTGGAGTGTGAGTGTGTGCGAATACAGTCCGAATAATGCCTCCACGTACAACAGCAAACTTACCCCTTCCGAACTGAGTATTAGAACTTCGATAGATATAATGAAACAACGCCTTCTCTATATTCTCATGATCTCCCTTCCTCTCACCTTGTCCCTCTCGTTCTCGCCTCACCTCGCTCGGGAACAAGAATCAGCTCAACCGAATATCCCGCTGCCAGGGAAGAATTCTGACCCCTCTCCCGAGGCAGCTCCCTCCTCACCACTTCCACTTCCAACACGCGAATGTCTCCCAGCTCCCGATCCCGATCCTTCCTGCGCTTGAGCTGGATGTATCGTTCTGATATCGTCCTCCAACCCTAATACATCGCCAGAGTAGACAGGCTCTGGTGTGAACGGATCAATGTCATCGACTTGCTGCGTATGAGATTGTAATGACGGTGGGCGAGGCGGTGGCTGACGTGTTTGCGGTGGCAATGGAACCACATCTATAGACTCTGGACTAGAATGTTCAGAATCGTATGCATCGTAGCCAGTATGCGAAACCGCATGCGAGAGATGGGAGTTTGAGGGATCTGACAAGCGAGAAAAGTGCGTCGGATACTCTTCGTATCGCGTCCGGGGCGGTGGAGGAATGGGGTTAGCATTTTGAACAGGGTTAGAATTACCGTTCCGGCCTGATGCGTATTCAGGCTGGGGGGTAACTGAAGAACGCGCTTGACGCGTCGGCCCTTGCCCCGGCTGCTGTCGTTGAACTCCTTGACCGCCTGGCCCAGAATTTGTTGGCGCAGCCGCTGCGGCTTGCTTAGCTGCCTTTCTGGCACGCAGACTATACTCGAACGCCTGGGCCACCAGTTCTCTTCTTCCTGCTACTCCTACTAGCCCTTGCGTGCCTCTTAGCTCTTCTACTCCAACGTTGGCATCTCGCTCGATACACCATGCGACCCACATACCATCCCCTACATCACTTACCACTCCAACACAGAATACACCGACCAAGCCTGTCGTCACCGCCGCAACCAATGCGGAAACCAGTGCTTGATGAGGAGCGCTCAAAGTATGTGCGACAAACAGGTACGTAGCCAAGGAGAAGGGAAGAGTAAGTGTGAGGGGCGTGAGGGTTAGAAGCGTTGGAAGAGGTGGTGGCGACAGTGCTATTGAGTAGGATGCAGTAGGTTAAAAGATTGGGAAAAAGATACCGAGCGCACGAGAAGGCGAATCGGGGAAGAAAGGCGATGACGATCGTAAGAAGTAGAACAGCAAAGAGGAAAAAACCGATTTATCAGCATCCCATATCAACATGATAGGTTACAACTTACTTTTGCCACTACCTCTCATCAAACCTCCAACCCTCCTCGCCGAATCAGCCCACGTCCTGCCTGTCATTCCGACATACACCAACGCGTACCGACTCATGCTATCCGTTATACCCTCTATGTACCGCACGGCACTCATAATAGTCCAGAAGAAAGCTCTCCGTGCGACAGCCCACAACTGCGTCATTATTGGACCTGCGAAGGCGGCAGACGCGTTGCGCGCGAAGAAGACTATCGGGGGAGGAAGCCAGATACTGAGAAAACGACCGAGGGTAGACCAGCCCCAGGCTAACCAGTCCGGGAGGTTGGTTAGAAAAATAACTAAGAGGGTTAACAAGCGGATCGAGGTGAGAATCAGGGCAGAAAGACATATGGATCCGAGAGAGTTGTTCGTGGCCCGGTGAAAGGCGGCATGTATTATATGCGTTTGTGGTGACGATGCAGATAACGAAGAGGGCAGGACCAAAGGAGGGAGGGCACCCAAAGCGTAATTTGTCGCTTGAGCGGAGAAATTGGCGAACATTGGCGGAGGCTCCAACTCGGCGTCGGCATCTGGAGGAAGTTGAACTTGAGGCTCCTGAGGTCGCTCCTCTTCGTCTCTGTCTCCCGCCCACGGAACACCAAAGTACCATCCACCTACAACCCCCGCGGCCACAACTCTGAGTAAACCTCTCGCAACGCCCCAACTCCATAGCCAAACTCCAATTGCTAGTACTATGGCTAACTCGGCACCCCATTTCAAGTGGTATTCGGAGGTTGCACCTGAAGAAATGAGCATAGGAATTAGAGAACCATGTCGATTGAGACAAACATACCGGAAGCTACTTTGTTCCATCTTCCGACTAACAACAACCTTCCCACGACCGTCCCGAATGGTATGGATCCCACTAGCATGACGAACAACAGGACCGGACTGAGTCCTAAGACAAAAGGATTCTCCGCGAGGATTCTTGTTGTCAGTGAAAGGATAAGCTCAGTTTGTGTGATCTGAGCTTGAAGTCGCGGCAATGAGGTGAAGAGAACGTAAAGGCGATAAGCAAGAATAATGGAAAATGTGAGGGGAATGAGGGAGAATAGGCGAAGACTGTGACAGAAAGGGTTCAATGACCGGCGTTTACAAGAAGAAAAGAAAGGCTTACCCTGTAGTCTCACCCCAAGTTTCTCCTTCCTCGCCCTCATCAACGAAACTCCCAACCCAAGCCCAAACTGAACACCCAAACAAAAGCATCGGAGTCCCCAAAGCGCTTAGCCATACAACAGGTCTTAACCATATTCTCAAGAAAAGAATATGCAAGTACGACGCAAGGGCGGAGAGTATAACCAGAGGGACCAGTAGAGGGATGGTGTGAAGTAGGGTTGGGTAAGGGGTGGGAGGAGGTGGAGACGATTTGGAAGAATTTGGTGGCGATGTTGTTCGTGTCGTGAATAACAGGACGATGGCCGCAACGTATGAAACGCATACACCGGTTAACCAGATCGACGTCCAAAGAGCGTCGTTGTACTTGGCTCTCCGACCTAGCTTACCGATAAATCTCGGATCCGGTAGGTTGAACGCATCCTGGGTATGAGCAGAGGGAAGAAGGGACTCGGTTAGATGAGAGGCATTGGATGAGGCAAGTGTTATTTGTGGACGAAGAGACGAGGGTTGGGGTGCTCTCGATTTTCCTTTCATCTGGGGTGGAGACTTGGTTCGTAGCCCGGAAGCAATCAATCCTGAGGGTAACTCTTCTTCGGAGTCCGAACCCAATTCGTTTGGCACTTCCCCTTGAGCCTCTGAATACGCAGTCATCTCTGCTGCTAACAGTCTATCATCTTCCTTATCGGAATTCTCTTCTTCATCTTCATGGCTGCGATATCTCTCCCCAGCGCCCTGGTATCCCTGATGAGCTAGCCAGCCTCCAACACCCGCACCACTTTCGCTCATGGACATGGTTGGACTGGATGTTCTTTCGCGTTGAAGGTGTTTGGATGATGATGGTCCTGCCTGAGAATGGAAGTCGTCTAGTTGCAGATACGGTGTATCTTCTTCCGTTTCGCTTGCAATTTCTCCCAAGCCCATGTCAGTCAGAAATCCTCTACTTCCTCTGCCGGTGCCGCTCCCACCAGCTAGATGTGGATCATCCAAGTCGTACTCCTCATCCTCCTCCCTGGGTGAGCCGGGCCTCGAGGACTCGTTGTCTGTTGTAAACGAGAAGAATATGGGGTGTGATTGCGAACCGGAAGGGCTTGCTTGAGTTTGTCGGTTGATGAACTGGGAGGCGTAGGCGGCGAATGAGGAAGCCATGGTTTGATGAGGGTAGAATTGAACCTGCTGCGAGATAACGTACAACTGAAGACTATTACGACTCGAGAACATACCTGTTTTCAAACTGCGTACGTTTACTATTCAAGCTCCAATTAACTGTTTCGTGTAACTTGCCTCGAGTCTCTTCCAGACAATCCCTTTCCAGAGTAATTCTCCAGGTTTGATCGCGTGCAGCGAGGGAAATGATGCTCGGTCGACCTTTGAACGTCGACGGTTCAGAAAAAGAAACGTGAAATTATCCCTGTGGATACCGCCTAAAGCAGTTTACACTGTCTGTGTTGCACGGAGTGAGTCTGACGAACCCGAAACGAGTTAAAGTTGGGGCGCAGGCGGCTTGCGTCACTACGACCCCAGCACGTGGTCTTTGACTCCGGTTCAAAATTTCAATGTTTTCGAATTCCTTAGAATCATTTTGGAACATTTTCTTCAGCTGCAGTTACTGCAACAGTAGACTAATAAAAACTATTCCAACCAAGAAAACTGCCCCAGAGAGGCTCGAACTCTCGACCTTCCGATGTACATGAGAGAGCATAACAGTCGGACGCTGTAACCAACTCAGCCATGGGGCAGACAAACATTAGAAACGTAGGGTTGTATTCAAATCCTAGCAAGCACGCAACTGCTTGCGGAAAATTTTACTTTGGAGTACTTCTAGAACATCCCACAGCCTCATGGGGCAAAAACGTCTCCAGATCACAAGGAAGCTGCCCCAGAGAGGCTCGAACTCTCGACCTTCCGATAGTGATCAGTGCGATAACAGTCGGACGCTGTAACCAACTCAGCCATGGGGCACTTGTTTGCCTTTTGACAGCAGGAACATCAGAATCTTGGTGTGCGCCTATTCGCGGTAACGTGTACCAGAAAAATCGAAGGATCGGGGCTGCTGCCACTTGCAATATCTCATCCAATGCTAGTTACAAGTTACATACAGATCGAAATACTAAATTGTAACACCCTGCAACTAATCCAACTTTTGGCGGACAGATTGTCTCACCTCTCTTCAACTCTACAATTCTAATTATCTATTCGGTCTTCACGTTTTTCACATCATCATGAAGATTTCCTTCGCGCCAAAGGGCAGTCGCGGCAAAGGCAGCACCTGGGCCCACCAACGGAGTCGCAACAACGTTCCATGCCAGCAGAGCAATTACTTGCGCCGAGTCCTGACCGAACCACAGACTCCCTAAAACCGACGCACCCAAACCAAATACCATGTCCCATTGGAACATGTCGAATGCTTGCAATTCCGTGGGAGTGGATGAGGGTAAAACGCTCAGGGATGGAATGAAGAACGCTTTCAGTTCCTCCGTGGTCTTCGACCTCAACAGGTTGGTATGCAGGTAGGCTATGCCGAGGAAAGACAGGACATAGAATACACGAAGTGCATTGTAACCTGATTCACGGCGTCCCGAGTTGTGACTGGGCAAGACCAATGTAGGGAAATAGGAAGCAGCAGAGACGACGAGTGGGAATACCTGCCAGAGGGCAGTAATGTAGGGGTCCTGGCGTTCAATCATCGCATAAGTTATGCCTCCAATGCCGACGGCCAGTCCAAATACGACTGCTAGTACATGGCCCATCGTGATGATTGTTTTCCGTCCAGAAGGCTGTAAGTCGGCGGCTCCTGACAAGATAAAGAGCAGCCAGTAGAAGGAGAACGTAGCGCCGAAGGTAAAGATCTGGAATCCTTGAACAAAGAGCAAGGGGAAGGACAGAAGGAAAGGTCGGCTACGACGGCCGGCCTCAAAGTAGGTATGGGCAACGATCGGGGTGGCGGACGCAATGAAGTAAGTCAGAAACTCAACACCCTTTGGTTCGAAGGATGTATGGAAAACAGAGACAAGGATGCAGAGAACGTTGTCGATGGTGGGTACTCCGGTGTACGACAGATGATATGGTGACGCTGCAGACGGTGCACCACACTGAGCTGCAAGTTTTTCGGAAAGACCAGAAGCATTGGCATGCCCAACGATGTACTGGAAGGCGAGATAGGTTAAGGAGGAGAATGTCACCAACGCGACAAGTTCTAGTCAAGTATTCACATTCAGTGAATGCGTCCGACACTGTGAAAGATTGAGAACTTACTGGAAGCCATTTGACGAGGCGACTATGGAAGATGAAGGAAGAGGTTAAAGGCTAACGGGAGACGAGTTAACCATCGCACTTAAAGCTAACGCGGTCTCACGTGCTTAGTGAATGGGCGCGTTACCCGGGGTCGGGTCTGGTCCAACTTAACTCCCCAAGTTCACAGTGGGTACATAGTACTCGGCGACGACCCCCCAAAAAAACCTTGACACAATTATAATCGAGTGATCTGTCGAATTTGTTTGATGCATGGGGGGGTTTCCCTGGCAGATATAAACTCATCACAGCTATTTGTGTATTTGTAGCATAGTTTTCAAAAAAAAAAAAGGCAACTTAGTGATTGCGTTTACGCGTACAGCTGTCCCGGCATCGGTGGAGCAATGCATACGATGTTTATTTGGCAGTGAACACATAAGGTGCGTTTTTCGAAAACAATGCTACAAATACACAAATAGCTGCAAAATACTCTCCTTTGCGTCCCGACCTTCGTCATTCCAGAATGCGCTTTGGATTATTTGAAACCTGCAACCAAGGACTGTTCCCTCATTATCCGGAATATATTATCTGATTCAATAAGTAATCTCATACCGCATTCTTATCGCAAAGTTTAGCCTGAGACCTCATTGTAGATGCGTTCAGTGATTATAGAAGCAAAAGCCTCCTAAGAAGGCTTTGTTTAATTCCCGGACTACTGGAAGCGAGAGTTACACAAGGATATACACTAACGAGGTAGAATACGGTCACCTGATAAATGGAAATCATCGCGTTGTGCGCGCACAAAAGTAGTGCCCTTATTGTCCCTAGACTTCGTTAAAACCAATTTTTCAGTCGTGTGGCTCGAAGAGAGGAAGTGCTGCATGCATCATGCTTTATGGCTTACTACGCGCAGCAAGCATGGGATCGGGGATTACATATTCGCTGTATATGCCAGCAGCATCGTTTCTGCGCCCATGCCACCTTATGAATCCGCAGCTATTTGTTGAAAGTTTCTTCGAAGAGAGGTGCTGCGCAGTTTGTGGAAGTGGAGGACGACACTAGTGGACTCACATTCGGTTCCGTCTTAAAAACTGAAGGCGCAGTCATGAATTGGTCAGACCATATGCGGGATTCAAATATGCGGTATGCAAGTGGTACTTAAACGAGCTTGTGCTCAAAGGATTGGAACTACCATATCCTTCCAACTGAAAGAATCGCGGATAAGCAACTCCCCAAGCGAAGGCATATCTGCATCGAAGAACATGGAACTTAAGGTCAAAGCCGTCGTTGAGAGACTCAATCTAGTCCATGGATCTCTACCTGGTGAGCTCTTCCGTAGTACAACCTACGATGGCTCGAAGGCGATGTCATTCTCACACGTTGACCATCGTTCATGGCAGAGAAAGACGTCGAGAGAGTTGTTGATGTGAGCGTCAGGGCTTTCGAAAGCGCTCGAGATAGAGATGGAGGTAAGACTGAGGTCGGTTTCTTCACAGACCAGACACTAAAATCTTTGTACCTGTTCCTAGACATCTCGCACAACGCGATCTTAGGACGCGACTGGACTCTTGCTTCATCGTACTTCCGGAGCATTATACTAGTGGGACTATTCGCGGGTGATGTGTACGGAATCCGAGATAAAGAAAGTAAGGAATTTGTCGCCGTGGGGATCTGGTTTAGACCAGGACAGAGGTCTGCTAACTGGACGTAGGTCGCTCGTGCTGAAACGTATCCATTCAAGGCCATGACCGAATATTCTAGGGAGGAATTCAAATGCAAGGTTGGCTTGAATGATTTTCTGGATAAACTTCAGCCGCAGTTTAGGGAGTGGTATTTGGACACTGTGATTCCGTCAAGGAAATTATGAGGCGTCTGTTGACTGATCAATCTTTTACCTGACAGATCCCCAGAATCATTAGGGAAAGGGAAGACTTTTTTACTGATGAGGCCCGTGCTCTTCATACCGAACCGTGACTAGATCTTGGTATTAATCTTGGTTGTTGTTCTTGACAGGAGAGGTCTCGGAGATGGTGGTGCATCCACTTGTGCACCGATCCACGATATCACGGCCAAGGATTGGCGAGGTCCATTATTGATCACGTACATGAGGAGGTGAGTACCTTTCAGTACAAAAAAGTCGATGTACAATGAAGTTGCATTTTTCCACAGGCTCAAGAAGCCGTTGAGAGGGGATTTGTTGCTTTGGGTGCTGGAGTCCAAGTGAACGTCGGTATTCTACCCATTTATTCAGTTGTTTAAGCTGAATTTTTTTAATTTACTGCAGGTTCAAAAGTATCAATCGTTAGGGTTCAGGAAGAGAGGTGAATTAAAGGCACCGTTTCCGGATTCGAACGAGATGTTTGAAATGCATGTACTTAGTCGAGGCGATTGAACTTTAATGATATGATCACTCGTGGTAATATTTTAAGCGCCGGAACTCTACATAGAATGTCTGGGTACAAGCACTCGCTCGCCCCCATAGTCGTTCACGCCTATCCTCAGCCCATATCCGCTCTTTGTTTCGATCCTGTATCAGACGCACTCTGGGTTGGGAACAGCGATGGATACGTATCTGCTCACCATAGCATCCAAGGTCTCAGAGGTGTATGCTTCAAAACCGGCGACTTTCCCGTACTCAAGATATCAGCCGATGAAAATTCAGTCAAGGCTGCCTCCGGAGGAGGAAATGGAAATGGTGCTGGATCGTGGGCCAAGGGCGGAATGAACAAATGGTATCATAGGTGAGTACGGATCGTATTGACCTTTAACGACACTAATGCGGTATCAGTTGTAATGATATTATCATGACCTTTGCAACCTCTTCTACAATCACAGCCGTCTCTACTTCGAACTCAGAAATACTATTGATCAACGCAATGACCGGGAATCTCTCAAAGCAGGCCACAGCGCCTTCCGTTGCTACCCATCTCGAATTTGCACAGAATAATATCCTTCTATCTGGATCCGCGGACGGTTATGTTCGTGCTTATGATCCCAGGACAGGAACTACGCGGAACGGAGGTTCAGAGAGCTCAGTCAAAGCGCACTACGGTGGAATTCAGGGCTTGCAGACCGTAGGCAATTTCATCTTTACTATTGGCATGAGTCTAAGGTATGTGTTAGACGTGAATACCTCTACTATCACTAAGTCTTTGATCTTTAGACAATCTCGCCCTTTTCCAGATCAATTGGTCAAAGTCTACGACCTTCGCACCATGCGTGCACTTGCTCCCATTTCTTTTCCAGCCGGCCCTGCATTCATCAACCTTATTCCAAACCGTTCGTCAACGATAGCTGTTACGTCTACCCAAGGTAACATCAGTATTGTCGATGCCTCCAATCTTGGTGCAGTCTCCAATGATTTCTGTCAAATTGACGACCTCACTTCCTTTGTCACTGCTGTCGCTATATCCCCCACTGGTGCCTACCTTGCTTGTGGAGACGCCGATGGAATCATCCACATGAAATCTCAAGTGGAAGGAGATGAGATGGTTCCTTTGAATGGTTT